AGGTAGGTGCTATGTCGTTGTTTGTTTTATTTGTTTGTTAAGTTTATACACCAACAACGTACACACGACACCTACTAGTAGAAGAATACTACGACCAACACACCACTATATATATATATATATATATATATATATATATATATATAAAAGTTCCCAACATAGTCATTATCCAAACAAAATTATTCTGTAAAAGTAACTGATTCTGCAGACCATCATTTCATATATATTCTCCTCTCAGTCAGATCCATAAGTGATTGATGATTCACAATCTAGAAAGGAATGTATAATATTACACATCTTTCATCAAACAAATGCAAACACTTGCTAACAAATGATTTTATAATATGACAGGTTGTCAAACAAGTGAAAATTCATTCACTACCAGTGATGATGATCAACCACTTACAAAAACAACTGAAACAAAATATTCTAGAGTAAATATTTATTAAATATTAAATTTTATTAAATAAAAAAAATGAGTTGTTAGATATGCTAAGGTTTTATATTAATCCAAAAGGAAAAACCAAAATATGCTAACTGCTGAATAAGTGACATTTCGGAAAGACCAACAATACAGTTTGACATTGCTATAGTAAAATAGAACTGTTACTGTTAGTTTGGATAAGTTAGTACTATACTGTGTCCCTCCATTAAACTTTATTTAATCTTGCATATGTCAAATGGTAGTATGTTCATCACATTAAGCAAAAAATATGTTTATTTAAGTGTCCGCAAAAGCCTGGACTATTTATCACCCTGCTGGTGATACAACATTTAAAAAATGGTATGAAACATGTTATAAAACTTTTCCAAAGGATTTACAGCAGTTGCAGATTTTACAACTAGAATAAGTTAAAGACTCAAAGAGTCAAGAAAAACACCAAGGTAAACTCTGCATAACATCAAACGAATGTCCTCACACCACTACATGTATGCTACAAAAAATAGTTTTCTATTAACAAGGTGTTAATAAGGTACAGTTCCTTTTCAATCCTCAGCAGCATCAAGAATTCCGAGATAATTACCTTCAGGTTAAGTAGACTGGCTTTTGTCGATTTAACATTTTTGTAACCATAAAATTATAGATTTAGTACATTCAGAATTATAACACGTACCTTCAGGAAATTTGGCAAGCTTTTAGTAAACATTACAAGTATGCTATACGTAAGAAAATCTAATTTTTCAATAAAGTATTTTTGATAAAGATTTACCTGTGAATTTACAAACCCTTTACTGAGAGTCCAATTGAAAGATGATTTTCATGCTAAAATAATAATATTCATTGATAGATTGTTTAGGTACATGAAACTTTGTATCATTTTACATTAACACAGTAAAACCTTCACTAAACAGAGATTCCAGATAAGAGGCGAGTAGCCTGGGGCTATCATTGGTTGAATCTACAGGAAATCTCTCCTCCAATCAGAAACAGTGATAAACCAACCAATTATAACACACTCTCCACAATCCACCAGAATGCTATATAGATGGACTATACCATACATACACACACACACACTGACCTGAAGATGAAAGGTAGAAGACTTTCAAAATGTCATCACAATAAAAATATTTCTTTTCATATTTCACTTGCATAACCTATAGAGTCTAGAATCTCCTAAATGAATATCAAGTCACAACTTTGGTAAAAAAAGTATATTTTTTCTTATTTTCTTTACCCTAACACTAGCTGAAGGAAAATCATCAATGTATAGTGAGTGAAAAGTTGAAATAATTATTATTATTGTTTTCTGGAATGACTACAGATTGTAATAAACAATTACAATTATTTAGCTTAACAGCTTCAGGTCTCTCAACCTTTTCACAACTTCTTTCATTTAATTCTACTGTTCTTTGAACCATGTCTAATTAGTATAACAAAAAAATGTCACCTGGTGAGAGGATAGGGTAAATAAACTTTCAAGTTACATCACAACATTGCAGCTTGTGTATTCCTCCAAGAGAGATCAGAGAATTAAAAAAAGATTTTCTTATCTAACCTAACAAGATTTTGATTTTAACATCTTAATTTTGTTAAAAATATAAATAAATGTACATGAAAAATATGAAATGTAGTGCTTACTTGAGGCCTTTTAAAAATAACCTATAAGTAGGTTAAGAATTTCATTGTTACCCAAAAGAATGTCTTTAGGCTAAACACACCATGTTATCCTCATAAATTATTGGTTTTGATCACCAAATCAAAACAGACAATTGTCCGATTTATGTAATTTAGAATATGATCTTTCTATTAGTTATAAACATGTACAATAGCAATGCCAGTGAGAAAATTATAGACAACTGTTAAAAAAATCTATAAACAAGATATCAGAACACCATCATGTCATGCGAATCAACAGTTCGGATCGAGGTTTAACTGAATGTACATGGTTGGTCCACTGGGCTGACCCCATATTGGAGAAGAAATGTTGACTATAATTCTGAACTTACCATGTGTATCTACATGAAATGAAACAAGCTTTTAGTAAAACAATATCTAACCTCCAATATGCATATCTAGTTGTTGCTGTTTTTTCCAGTATCCCTGTACACTGTATCCGGTACTTATGCTCTATTACCACAAACTGTCACATAATCAGCAATGCAGCATGAAATGACAAGTCAATAACTTTGAAAAATATATAATATTGTGTTGAATGGCACTCTGTAAAAGATTGTGGTAAGTACACTTTGATTTCCACACATAGTGTTAAGTATTTCCTTTTGAAATTACAACTTATATAATCTCAAAATTTGAAGTATAAACTACATTTTGACTGCAAAGATTAATAATGTAATAATAAAGTAGTTTAATTAAATTTTGAATAAATCCATAACATTATGTTCACTAGGCACATAGTGAGCCACGTTATATGCAATATTTGTAGTCATATTGATGTGTTATCGTTTGCTTGACAGTTACCTAGTGGCAAGTTTAATATACTTTTTTAGCACAAGAGTATGAAAACTTGTACACCAGAAAATATTGCTAACTTATCTTTAAACTGAAATTATTTAACCTAAAAATAGTTTAAAATGCATTGAATATGAATATGAATATACTCTGCCCAATATATTTCATATGGTATTTTTTATAAATAACCAAAGGGGCATAAATTTGTCATGTTGTTAACTCTGTTTAATATTCAGGATTTTTTATTTATTTATTAGCAGACTAGAGAACAGATCATTTTCAACTCCATTTTTCTGCTTTAAAGTTATATTTCTAAATTTTAAATAACAAAGAAAAGATGGTTGGGTCCTTACTTATTATTAAAATATTATAGAAATTGGGTTTTCACTTCCTAAGTTGTCAGTACTCATAATAATATGTTTTATTTATGTTTCTGGTCATTGTTTTAAGAAATTTTGAAATATTTACTCTGTTTAAAATTTCCTATAAACAGGTAACTCGTATGAATGTTAACATTATACATGTGTCACAAGGGAAAGATTTTATTAACTTTACAAGAACTGACACTTGTATTTATGATGCATAAAAAAACTAGAATTCTTGAGACATTGTAAACTATACCTTATAATTCCAGTTTTTTAAATTTACATCTAACAGATTTTGTTCATTGTTAATCAAGGTTATAAGTTCAAATAGATTGAAGTCAGTCATAAGTATAATTTAATTAGAAGTTTGTGCACACTACTGAATGTCTTATGTTCTTCAAAATAAAGTTTCTTCTTAAACTTTTTTTTTTATTTGAGAAATTTGAGCAAAATAGTAATGCATTAAGTCAATGCAAAATTAGACAAATTGAATCAAAACACTCATTTAGTTAGCATGGCCAAATGGAACAAACCTAATGACATAAATTTTTTTATTTATTTGATGTTATTAAGAAAAGAGCTTTAGCTCAAAGTACAGTTTGCAGCTTATCTACAAAAAACTACAACTTGTTATTAATTTGTCTATTTTTGAAACTGTACTGAAATTGGCGAGACTTAAAGTGAGACTCCTTCAGTTTTTGTTAATTATATTTTATGTATCTTTTCCTCTGTTATTCAGTTGACTTGTCTCTTGATTTAGAATTAGTTGTAATATTACTCCCAGAGTGAGATAAAATGACCAGCACTGCCTGGCATCTAGTCATTGTCATGGTATAGCTGCAGTCATATGGAAATCAGTCTGTCGCATAATACTACATAAACAAGTTGTTCAGATACGTGGCAACAGCTAGTAATCATCCCATGTTGAATTGTAATCTTGTCATCTGGTAAGAAATAGAACTGAAGATTGATAAGCCAGACATTCAAGGTTGTGGAGTTCTATAATTAATCAGATTTTGAAAATGTTGTATTATTGTAAATTTCAAGACAATTTATAAAGTTAGACTCTCTTTCTGCTTCTTTCCTAATTTCTTGTGCCAAGGCTAAAAAGTTTCAAGTTCATTTGTGTCCTTTGCAAAAGTCCAGGCCTGGCATTTTTGAGTTGTGATTATACCCTGTAAGATTCCTGGTATTAATGTTTCAGTTATTCTTAGTGTAGAACAAAAGATCTTTAAAGACTGTATAGTCACTGATTTGTTTCATTGTTTGTTTGTTTTGAATTTCACGGAAAGCTACACGAGGGCTATCTGCGCTAGCCATCCCTAATTTAGCAGTGTAAGACTAGAGGGAAGGCAGCTAGTCATCACCACCCACCGCCAACTCTTGGGCTACTCTTTTACCAACGAATAGTGGGATTGACCGTCACATTATAACGCCCCCATGGCTGAAAGGGCGAGCATGTTTGGTGGGAGGGGGATGCGAACCCGCGACCCGCAGATTGCGAGTCGAGCGTCGTAACCACCTGGCCATGCCGGGCCTGATTTGTTTCATAGCATGAGAATATATCTGGCTAGCTGTACTATTTTTACATAGT